TATTGTAAATAATGTTTTGAAAAATAGACGAGTTTTGGGCCGGCCCAGTGGTTAAGTTCGCACGTTTTGGAGGGCCCAGTGGTTAAGTTCGCACGTTCTGCTTGGTTCAGATCCCAGGTGCAGACACGGCACCGCTTGGCAAAAGTCATGCTGTGGTAGGTGTCCCATGTATAAAGTAGAGGAAGATGGGCATGGATGTTAGCTCAGGGCCAGTCTTCCTCAGCAAAAAGAGGAGGATTGGCAGCAGTTATCTCAGGGCTAATCTTCCTCAAAAAAAGAAAGAAAAATAGACCAGTTTTTATTTTTATAGGCATTGAATTGTTGTTTTAATACATTTATTACTTATGAGAGGGGCAAACACCATTGGTTGCCTACCTAATAGGCATTATCTCCTTCATCCTTAGCTTATAGAATCTAATATTTCAGAAAGATATATTAGTTATCTTGTTGCATATAAATTACTCCAGAATGACAATCCTTTATTCTCCCTCATATTTTCTGTGGCTTAGGAATTTGGAAGTGGCTTGGCTGGGACGTTCTAGCTCAGAGTCTCTCATGAGATTGCAGTCAGATGGTAGCTACAGCTGGAGTCATCTCTAAAGCTTCTTCAATCACATGTCTGATATCTGGACTGGGAAGACTCAAAGAACCAGGGGCCTAAATGATGGAGCACTTCAAGCATCTCTTTCTATTTCTATGTGGTCCCTCCAGTGATCTCTCAAGTGTGCCAGCTTTAGGGTAGCCAGATCTCTTCCACAGGGCTCGTAACTCCAAAGGCACGTCTCCCAAGAGATCAAGAGCTAGGCAGAAGCTATACCACCTTTTCTAACTTAGCCTTGCAAGTCACAAATATCACTTCCCATCTGAGTCATACATAGCCCACCCAGATTCCAGGAAAAGAACCTAGACCCCACTCCTTGATGGAGAAGTATCCATGTCACATTGAAGGAAAACATTTGGAAAATATAATCTGCCAGAGGAGGCAAACATGCTCAGAGTAGGTAGCCCCCCCGCCAAAACCTAAGAGATGAACCATGCTTTGTCTGAACTAAGTATGGTAATCCCACTCTTTGTTGTTAGTGTAAAAGACACTGCTAGTTAGCCACCCAAAATTTATTTTCCCTTCCTCCTATCAGAACCCAGCTAAATATACTAAATCACCCAAGTTGTCTTGCAGCTAGGATAGACAAGAGATAAATTCTGCCAATTAAACTAAGCTATGAGATCTAGGAAACCTTTCATTTTCCTGTTGTAGGTACTTGCTCCTTTCTGATGAATAAGAACACAGCTCCAAGGGTGGTCCTTCAGAGGCATGAGCCAATCAATACAGTCTATCCACCTGCTCATAGTGATTAGTTCAAGAATGAGCAATTGATCCAATTCCGTCCAGGATGAGAAAAAGTGACTCCCTTTATGGAGAAAGGCAAGTCCCAAGATCTGCACAGTGAATTGGCAATCTGGAGACCTAGGAAAGAGATGGTTTAGTTCTAGTCCAAGTCTGAAGGCCTGAGAACCAAGAGAGCCAATGGTGTAACTCCTGTCAAAGGCTGGCAGGCTCAAAGGAAAAGCCCATGTTTCAGCTCTAGTCCAAAAGCAGGGAACAAGCCAATGTCCCAGTTGGAAGGCAATCAGGCGGGAAAGAGTTCTCTCTTACTTGGGGGAGGGTCACACTTTTTGTTCTCTTCAGGCCTTCACTTGATTGGTTGAGTCCCACTCACCTTAGCGAGGGCAATCTGCTGTACTCAGTCTGTCAATTTCAAAGATCTCATCCAAAAACACCCTCACAGAAACACCCAGAATGTTTGACAGATTATCCGGGCACCCCACGGCCCAGGCTGGTTGACACAAAATTAACCAGTACACTGAGCAAATGAATCCCTCATGTGGTTTAAGCCTGTTTGATTTGGGTTTTCCTTCACTTTGCAACCAGAAGAGACTAAATTGATATAGGGCACCTACTGCGTGCCAGACTGTGCCAGGTGCACAGATGAGATGAATAACCAGACAGAGTTTCCAGACCTGCAACGTGGGTAAGAAGACCATTGCATGCTTTTTTGAAAAATGTTATTAAAGCATAACATTCCGGTGACTGTAGCCTGGTTGACATCTTGACTGCAACCTCATGAAAGATCTCAAACCAGAACCACCCAGATGAGCTATTCCAAAATCCCTGATGCAGAGAAATCTATGTGAGATAATAAAAGTTTTTTGTTGTTTTATGCCGTTAAGATTTCAGGTAATTTGTTACACAGGAATAGATAGCTAATACACCCCTCTCCCTAACGTATCTACTAATCTGATCATCATCATCGATTAGTTTTGCCTGTTCTTGTAATTTATATAAATGGAATCCTACAGCATGTACTCTTTTGTGCCTACCTTCTTCTACTGATTATTAGATCTGTGAGATTCATCCATATGCTTACATCTAGCAGTAATCTTTCTTTGTTATTGTTGTATAGTGTTTCATTTCATGAATATACCAAAATTTATCCTTTCTACTGTTAGTGGACATTTGATTTTTTTTCCAAACTCTGGCTATATGAATAAAACTTCTGTGAACACTCATATATATCTTTTGATTGGACACATACACTCATTTTTCTTGGAAGTCATTTTTTAATGTAATATTTCTTGCTTCTTCTAACTTTCTCACGCTACTGCCTACTGTGATATTTTACTTATTAGCTTGTCCCACTGTTCTTTTGAAAATGACTGCAAATTCAATTATATCTTTTAAACATTTCCAAACAACCTTTAATTTGTACATTTTAAGTACTTATAATGGTAAAAGAATAATAAGAGGACACTTTGTTTTCTTAGCTGTGCAAAAGATGAGTTCTCCATATCTGCCTCATTCCCATGGGTTTTCTTAATCCATCAAATGGAACTTTCAGTCCTTCTAGATTTTATGTACAGAGAACATTTTTCAGCAATGTTTTTGCAGATCCCAGATTAACCCTAGCAACTAAAGCTACTACATAGCAAAATTGTTGAATAGCTAATGTTTGCATATGCCAGCAGTTCTCAAACTTTTTGGTCTCAAAACTTCTATACCCGCCTAAAAATTATTGAGGACCCCAAAGATCTTTTGTGTATGTGATTATATTTATCAATATTTACTGCTTTAAAGAAATTGGTAAAACTTTTACATATTTTTTTCATTTTAAATTAACAATAATAAACCTATCATGTGTTAACATAAATAACATATTTTATGAAAAATAATGTGGGCCCCCTGAAGTTGTCTCAGAGATTCAAAGGGGTCCCTAGACTACACTTTGAGAACCACTGGTCCATGGTGATGAGTTCCTTGCCCCATCATACCATATTGTAGCAATCATCTCTTATTTTGATTTACCAGCATCAATCCATTTTTATTTGGGGATAAAACCCTACTTTCCTAAAAAGAACCTATTCAAGATGGTTCAGATGAGGCTGATCACACTCCTTTTCCCACTCAGAGATAAGCGTGTGACCCACGATTGGCCAGAAATTCTTGGGAATTCTCATGTTATTAGAAAATTCTCTCTCTTTCTCTGTCTCTTATCTCTATCCCTCTCTCTCTCTTCCCCCCTCCCCCCAGGTTGTGAATCATAGCCTGACAATAGCTTTCGTCCCCATTTAGGGGAGAGAGCCATCCAAGAGATAATTAGTATATCACCATTTAAAATGATTTTACTCTTTGTTTTATAAACAGTAAAGATTATGTTTTAGTCAGAATGTAAATTAGCCACCTAAATGATTGCAGAGAGGCATGTATCCATTAAGAATGCTTTTAGCCCCAAATAGCAGAAATCCTAAGACTGCCATAAACAAATAGGAAGTTAACTTCCAATTTTGACCAAGACAGAGTAACAGGGACCAGATTTACCCTCTTACCTAAAAACTAGACAAACAAACAAAAAAACAGACAAAATATATGAAACAATCATTTTCAAACATTGGACAATAGGCAGTGCATGACAGTGATCCCTGAGAGAATGGAAACAAGTGATGAGAGCTTTACTATTGCCCTGGGTCACTGCCAGGGAGGAGGGATCCAAAGAGTCCACTGTCTACCCGATTTGAGGAGGTTTTTCTGGAGACTGTAATTCACAGGAAAGAGTACCAGAAAGGAGACAGCTGCACAGAAAGAGAGCTCTGGAGATCTGCAGAGGATTACCTTTGAGTCTCCAACTGTCTACTCTTCAGAATACACATGTAAGAAAACTACCCAAGGCTGGGGAAAGACCCATCTGAAAGGAACAGGTGGAATAATTCACAGAGCTCACACAGGATTGGGAATAGTTCATATTCTTAACAGCCAGAATGGAAAAATCTTGTAATACATGGACATGAAGCAGCATACTCAAAAAGGTATTGCCTCAGTAGTGATCCAAAATTAACCCTAGATATGGGACTGGCCCCGTGGCTGAGTGGTTAAGTTCGCGTGCTCTGCTGCAGGCGGCCCACTGTTTTGTTGGTTCGAATCCTGGGCACGGACATGGCACTGCTCATCAAACCACACTGAGGCAGCGTCCCACATGCCACAACTAGAAGGACCCACAATGAAGAATATACAACTGTGTACCAGGGGGCTTTGGGGAGAAAAAGGAAAAAAAATAAAATAAAATCTTAAAAAATATATTAAAAAAAAACAAAATTAACCCTAGACTAAAGGTTACTCAACCTTAAGTTATTAACAAATTTAATTAAAGAAAGACCTGAAAGGATCAAATTTTTTCAAAGAAACTTAACTGCATTCTAGAACAAAGCTCAAGAAAAAAAAATTTTTTTTTTGAGGAAGATTAGCCCTGAGCTAACATCTGCTGCCAATTCTCCTCTTTTTGCTGAGGAAGACGGGCCCTGAGCTAACATCCATGCCCATCTTCCTCTACTTTATATGTGGGACACCTACCACAGCATGGCTTTTGCCAAGCGATGCCATGTTCGCACCCGTGATCAAACCCGTGAGCCCTGGGCCACCGAGAAGTGGAATGTGCGAACTTAACTGCTGTGCCACTGGGCCAGCCCCCAGAAAAAAAATTTTAAACAAGAATATCCAGCAGCGAACAAGAAAAAATTTACAATGTCTGGCATTTAATTCAAAAATTGCCAGCCATGCAAAGAAGCAGGGAAAATATAGCCCATAATGAGGAAAATAATCAATTCATTGAAAGCCAACAAGAAATTATATAGATGATAGAATTAGTAAATATGATTATTAAAGTGATTATTATAACTATATTCCACAAGCTTAAGAAAGTAGAGAAAAACATAATCATGTTAAATAGAAACACAGAAGATTAAAAAGGAGACCCAAATAGAATATCTAGAAATGAAAAGCATAATGTCTGAGATGAAAAATACACTGGATGGGATTAACAGCAGATTAGACACTGAAGAACTTGAAGTGAACCTGAAAACTATCGAAAATGACACACAGAGAGAAATAAGCTTAAAAACAAAATAAACAGAGGCAGCTCTGAGGGCCTAGTGGTTAAGGTTCAGCATGCTCCACTTCAGTGTCCTGGGTTCAGCTCCACAGGTTCAGAACCACACCAATCGTCTGTCAGTAGCCATGCCATGGCAGTGGCTCACACAGAAGAACTAGAAGGACTTACAACTAGAATATACAACTACGTACTGGGGCTTTGGGGAGGAAATGAACACGTAAAGAAATAGGTTTGGGACCACTTCCAGCCGCCTAATACCTGTGTATTTAGAAGCCCTGAAGGAAAGAGAGAATGGAGGGGTAGGGGGCAGAAAAAACTGCAGAAATAAAAGCCAAGATTTCTCTAAAGTTGGTGAAAACCAGAAAGGCACAGATCCAAGAAGCTCAACAAACCCCAAGTACAAGTAACATAATGAAAACTATACCAAAGCACATGATAATCAAATTCCTTAAAACCAGTAACAAGAAGAAAACCTTAAGAGCTGCCAAAGAAAAATAAAGCTTTACATATGGAGGAACAAAGATAAGAATAACATCAGACTCCTCATTGGACACAATGAAAGTTGGTAGAGTGAATGAAATTGGTAGAGTGATATCTTTAAAGTTCTGAAAGAAAAATACCGTCAACCTAGAATTCTATGCCCAGTGAAAACACCTTTCAAAAACGAAAGGAAAATGAAGACTTTTTCAGACATAGAAAGCCGAAAAACTTTGTCACTAGTAGACGTGCATACAAAAAACATTAAAGGAAGTCTTTTGGACAGAAGGAAAATGATATCTACACAAAGGAATGAAGAATACTGTAAATGGTAAATATGTGGGTAAGTATAAACAAATAGGGATTTATTTTCCTCACATAACAAAAAGGTTGGAGATTGGCAGTAGGTAACTTTAATTCAGGTGGTCAGTCTTCAAGGATTGCAGCTCTTTTCAATCTTCGCTCTGCCATACTTGATATTTAGACTTTTCATCCTAATGTCTGTTGCCTCAAAGAGGCCTTGTCTTAATATTTTCCCTTTCATGTATCAGTGAGGGAAAAACTCTCCTAGAGCCTCTCAGGAGACTTCTCCTTAAGTCTTTTAGCTGAACTGAAAGGCTGGAAAACAAGTAGCTTGCTTTTACAGCCTCTGTAATGGGAGGTAGGAAAGAGAAATGGTGGTTCAGCTAAACAAATAATTGTTGTTATAGGGTATTAATTAAAAGTGTAAAGCATATGTTTGAAGTTGAGATGAAACTCAAAATTATCTGCGATATTATGTAAGGACCATCTCTTAAGTTACGGACCCAAAGCACAAAGACAGAGTCCCACAGACAGATTGGAGAGGTTAAGATGCCCCCACAACCGTAGGTGAATCTGGAACCTACAGCAGTCCAAGATTCTGTTCTTCATAGCTACTCTATTGAGTCCACATCAGATCCAAACAAGCCAAATCAAAATGGGGAAGCTTCACCAGACACTTCTGCCTGAGAGTTTCAGAAGGAGAAACACTACTATCCTTTGTCTGCCCTACAGCCCAGGGCTGTTCAGAATTCTTGGACCACCCACGGAACACTCCTTTCCTTCATCAATGCTAAGTGAGCCAAAGGAGAGAGAGCAAATGAATCGTCCATCTTTCTTCTTCCTTTCTATCTCTTTTCTTTTCTCCAGGTCAAGAAGGATAAAGTCAGCAAGAGAATCCCAAATTGTTGCCTTTGTTTCCTCTTCTTTTCTATGTAGCCTTTGGTTAGAATCATCTGCTACTTAGGAAAGTCAAAGAAACTTGATTAGGGTTTTAAAATTAAAACTCAATTCATTTGTCACAGACTTTGGATCTTAACTTTAGATGCCAGTCGAAAGACAACTTAACAATTTGGATGGATATTACTGAGCAGAGGAGTCCGGCAAGAGAGCAGTAAGTTCAAATGCTGTAGGAAGAAAAACCAAAATAGGATGTTACCATGTGGTTTGGGGCTAAAGAAAAATATTTCATCAGCTTCAGCATATTGTAGTTATTAGCCCAAGAAACTGAGACATAGATAAGGCTAAAGATAGAAAAATCTAGATTGAGCTCTGCCTCTTATCTTCTGGGAGCTATAACATTATCACTCATGTTTCTTTTATCCTTCTTCTGTTAACATACATAACCCATTTGCTTTGGAGAATTCCTCTCCTACTTCATACAATTGGTGGGGCTCTTAATTACAGTTATCTCTTTTCTCTAACCACTTCCTCCCACCATTACCAAAGTGGAGTGAATATGACCTAGAATTGGCCAGTCATAGTATCCCACCTCTTTGGTAGTAATCACTCATTTAAGAATGGACACATAACCCTAGCAGAGCCAATCAAAATCCTTCCCTGAAATTGATAGGTGGGTAATGAGAGACAGTAATTCTCTACTGGAGTTACTAAACTTGAAAGATGTGAAATTGGAGTTGTGGGAGCCAATTTCCCCAGAGGCCTATCTGGAGTAGGAAAAAGTGAAGACAAACCACTGAGAAAAGCAGGGCATGAAGATAGGGAAAGAAGAAAAGACTTGGCCCATTGTTTGAGACCCTGAATCCAGTTGTGCTTAAAGCCAGACCCTGCCCTGAACCACCCAAATATAGGAACAAATAAATTCCCTTTGGCTTTTGCTAAGTTTAGGCAGGATCCTCCCACCTGCAGTCAGAAGAGCTCTGGTTACTGCACATTGCTTTTCCCCGGTCTTGTCTACATCCCTATCCAGAGGAAAGGGAAGAAAGAGCATACTAAATGGTTTGTACCAGCTTAAGAAGAAGACAAAGGTTTTAAAGTCACCCAAAACAGAGGAATATTGCTTCCCTTCTCTTATCACCCTCAACACACACCCTCCAGCATCAGGTACATGTTTAGTATATTTACTTGGGGAATTATTTTGAGAACAGCACAACATTATAGTTTGGAGTACTGTGGATAATTATATTTTCTAAGAGAGCTCTTGTTTTCTTTCCAATGTGTGACTTATACAAACTTTGCTTTTTAGAAAGAAGTTTTATTGTTATCTTACCACATGATCTAAAGATACTTATAATCAGTTTTAGAACCCCCTGATCTGGTAAATTTTAATGGAAGTCAATGAAAGAATGTAAGCCACGTAACAGCAAAATTCCTAAAACGTTATTTATTCTCCTAAGCAAGAGGGACTTGCATCACTCTTTATGCGCTCAGGAGTGATTGCTCCAGAAATTAGAGTGGATTCACAGACAAAGTGACTCTGGAGCATGGTATCTTATAAAATACAGAGAATCTTGGAAAGTGGGTGAGAAATAATTTCATTAACTGTAGGCCTGTTGTAAAGCAATCATTTTACCTAGTAACCAAAATGTTTGCATTCACTGGCCTAGGACTACAAATTTCAGCCATGTTCATTAATACTAAAACAAAAACTCAATACTCATTCCTTTGATTGCCAGAAGTTACTGCTTCAATGTGACTGGGTGGGAGGGGCTGTCTATTGAAGGATCAGGAATAGGTCTGTAAGATTCTGCTGCTCTGGCCATCTCACCTTGTGGTCTCTTTCAGGGACCCTGATGAGATCACCACTGCAGGGGACACCTCTGTTTCCCACCTGGTTCCCTCTGAGGTTATCCGCAGGCTGTTATCTGGGAAGGGTGTGTTGCTCTCTCCTTAGCTACCCTCTCCCACATGTGACAGTCTTACTTAGGAATCAAATGCACTTAAACAAAAAAGCTATGTGCTGCATAGATAAAAGAATATTTCACAGAATCCAAGGATAGGACGTGCAGTCCAGCCTCATAAGAGACAGAACAAAAGGGATTAGGGTGTGGTCAGGTACAATGGCAGGCATCTTCTATCTCTGTATCTTCTTCTAGGGCCTCTGGTACTCATGGGCACCTGCTGTATTCTCCTCCCTTTGTGGTGACTCTCTTTACCTTTTCATCCACAGCATGGACAATGACTTTTCCAGCTTTCTTGGTTCCCTCCCTGTTTTCTCTCACAGGCATTTTCCCTAATAAATTTCTTATACAGTTAATCTTGATTCTGCTTCTCAGAGGACCCCAGACAAACATCCAACATCAATACATTCTGGATTATTCAGTCTTAAAAACTACCATGTGAAGGGCAGCAATAGCCAAGAGCTGTCACTGTGTAGTCTCTCTTCCAACATGAGGTGAAGTTCACCCCTGTGGTCCCTTCTACAGTCTTCAGGGTTCCTTCATAAAAAAAAAAACTGGAAAAAAGTTACACAACTCTCCAAAAATGAGCAATAGTTTACAGGTATAGGGCAGCCTAAATTCATAGAGGAAAGAACAAGTTCGCCTTCAGGGTTGCTAAAAGATACACCCAATTTACACTATCAAATACATAATTTCTTGATCAAAAACCACTATATTTGAGTTTGTTTACTGTATTCAATTTTTCTCTCAAGACCAATGGATGGATACTTTGTACACATTTGCATGATTTAAAAACAAAACGGAGGCTTTTCCAGAACACAGGGCAGTTGACTCTCAATGTGTATCCAAATCTTCACTTTTTGACAGGAAGGATCTGCTTGTACCTTTTTTTTTTTTGCTGGGGAAGATTAGCCCTGAGCTAATATCCATTGCTGCTTGTAACTTTTAAGTTTTTATTCTGCTTCAAAAATCTCAGGATCCAGTCTCTATAGAGACAATCCATTGTACCTACATTCTCATTTAATCCTAAAAATACCTGTCTTTGATTCATTTTCATTTTACAGAAGAGGAAACTACATTTCAGAGAAATTAGGAAATTTACCCAAGGTTGTTCCACTAAGTCTTAGAGACAGAAATTAAACCCAGCTCCTCCTAGCTCACAATCTCACATCTTTCCGCTGCTTTCAGAGATGCCACTGAAAATCTAATTTGCTAAAATCTTTATTAACGATAGTATATGAAGCTTTAAGCAAACTTGCTTGTCCTTTTCTTACTTAAGAAAATGTCTGTGAACTGCTTGGTCAAAATAGGTGAATATACGTAAGTGTTTGTTATGTATTGCTTAAATTTCTGACATATTGAAAAAAGAAAAAAAAAAGCTTTTCTCTTCCTCTTCCACTTTACTGGGGCCAAGGTTTCCAGTGGTATCCAGTAAGGGGTGGAGGTTGGCATGCCTGGGGTTAAGCAAGTAAATACAGATTTCTCACTGTCACAAAAAGGAGTTACAACCGTGGAAACTGGGAAGTCTAGAATATACCCTGGAGTGTTGCATAGGAATTGGAAATGTCAGTATCACAGTCTGATTAGATAGATAGACAGATAAATACAGCTCTGTGTGTATGTTCTACTTCTGTTCACTGAGAGGGTCTAGAAGCAACGGCATTCCAATAACAATGAGCACGCTTAGATCTTGGTTTCTAGATACCACTATCCACTAAAAAGAACCAGGACCCCTTGACGAAATGGTTGCTCCACGACTGGAGCAGGGAAAATACAAGATGTGTTTGTAACATTTTATGACACCAGAAAGTGGAAAGCAAAGAAGTGCTCAAAGAATGATGGGAACATATCTATAAGACACAGTAACCAGCTTGAAGGGGCACCCACTGGCCAAGTCTGGGACAATTTGAGTATCAAAATAAACAATAATAATAACAGATTGTAACCTTATGAGTAAAAGAGAAATCCCAGGCCAGCCCAGTGGTGCAGTGGTTAAGAGCACACGTTCCGCTTTGGCAGCCCAGGGTTTACCGGTTCAGATCCCAGGTGCGGACATGGCACTGCTTGGCAAGCCATGCTGTGGTAGGCGTCCCACATATAAAATAGACGAAGATGGGCCCGGATGTTAGCTCAGGGCCAGTCTGCCTCAGCAAAAAGAGGAGAATTGGTGGCAGATGTTAGTTCAGAGCTAATCTTCCTCAAAAAAAAAAGAAAGAAATCCTGAGTCCATACTGGTATTAATTAATTAATTAATTAGGGAGAAAGGAAAATTCTATCCTATCTAATAAATCTAGATGGAATGATAGGATTAGAAAATCTCCATTTGGTAATTATCAGAATAATAATTTATTCAAGTTAGATCATTAATGGATGCTAAAATTGGCGAGAAACAAGATATTCACATGATCTCAAAAATTCTTGCCACAAAATAATTATTAATTACTTTACAATGGAGAACCTGGCAGATACCATCTTAACTTGGTCATAAAAGTTAGCAACACCATTAATGGAACAAATTGATATCACGTGCCTCCTCATATGATGCCTGGAGACTAGTATAGCACCACTTATGTGATATTCCTGCCAAAATGCATAGTTATAATCATCAGACAAACCTCCATAACTAAGGAACATTCTCAAGGCAATTGGCTTGGGCTTTTCAAAACTATCAAGGTCATGAAAGATACAGAAATGGTTCCAGGTTGAAGACTACTAAAGAGACAGGACAAATGAATGCAACACTTGATCCTAGATTGAATCTTGGACTTGTAAGGGACATTATTGAGACAATAGGTGAGATCTGAATTAGGTCCCTAGATTAGATGATATTGTTGGATCAATGCTAATTTCCTGGTTTTGATTACTGTATTTTATCCTTGCACTCAAGAAATACAAACCGAAATATTAAAGAGTAATGAGGCATCATGTCTACAACTTATTCTCAAATGATTCAGAAATAATAAGTGGAGGATCGAGGTGAAGGATACAGGGAAGATCTGTTTTTGTAAATTTAAAATTAATTCCAAATAAAAAGTTTTAAAAATGAAAAACTGTGTCAGTTTCTTCCCTGAAGAGCTCTAAGAACAGCAAAGCCCACAAACACCTGTGGGATTAGGAGATTTAGGGAAAACAAAACAAAAATATTCCTTTCAGTTATTTATGGCTGCGTAATAAACCACTCCAAAATTCAGTGACTTCATTGTGTTATCTGTCATGATACTGTGGAGTGATTGGCCTCAGCTGGGCAGTTCTGCTCCAATGTGATGTCAGATGGGGCTTCAGTCATTTGGGGGTTCCACTAGGCTGGAACATCCAAGATGGCACGTTCACATGCCTGGTGCCTTAGTGAGGACGGTTGGCAGGCGGGGCTCAGACAAGCTGCTAGGGTGACGGGGCCTCTTCCTCCATGTAATCTCAGGGTCTCTCCATTTCTGCATGGCCTAAGTCACTTCTCCAGGTGATCTCTCCAGCAGAGTAGCCAGACTTCTTATATGGCAGTTCAGGACTCTTCAAAAGTGCAAAAGCAAAAAATTGCCAAGACTTCTTAAGCTTAAGTCTAGAACTGGTCCAGTATCACTTTCATTGTATTCCATGGGTTAAAATGAAACAAAAAGTAGAGAAATGTTCAAACATACAAAAAGTATATGAGCTTTCATGTACCCATCATCCAGTTTCAAAATTTTGTACGATATTTTAAATCTAATTAAATTTATTGGTAATTTTATTAAAAGATGAGTCATAGGGCCAATCTAGGTTCTCTGTGGGAGGAGATTGTACAAAAGCATGGATAACAGGAGGTATATTGGGGCTATCTTTGAAGATTAGCTACCATGCCACCACAGCTAATTTTCCTGTCTCCTTGCCAGAAATATGCTATATTTTAAAATCATATTTAAAAAGTAACCTTTAGGGGCCGGCCCCGTGGCACAGCAGTTAAATGCACACATTCCACTTCAGCAGCCCAGGGTTGGCTGGTTCAGATCCCGGGTGAGGACATGGCACCACTTGGCACACCATGCTGTGGTAGGCGTCCCACATATAAAGTAGAGGAAGATGGCCACAATGTTAGCTCAGGGCCAGCCTTCCTCAGCAAAAAGAGGAGAATTGGCAGTAGTTAGCTCAGGGATAATCTTCCTCAAAAAAAAAAAAAGTAATCTTTAAAAGCCAAAAATGAACCAAAGCAAATAAGTTAAAGCTTTTCTTTTTAAAGAGACATACCATACATTCTTGTATAAGTTCTCTCTTTTTCCCTCTATCTGATAGGTATGTAATTTGTGCTTGTTGTGGTTTTTAAAAACCTAGTTTATTTTCTCATTATAACTTTGTTGTATCTGAGCAGCAAACTATCTTGATTTATGAACGCCTTCCTGATTGTATTTTTATTAATTCTTTAGATATCAAGGACAAGTTGAAATAACCAAATGAATTTTCATCATAATGTCCTTTCACTGTCATGAATTGAAGTTTTAGCAGCTTTACTGAGATAGAATTTAAATACTATAAAATTTATACATTTAAAGTATCCAGTTCAATGGTTTCTAGTAAGTTTACAGAGTTGTGTAACCACCACCACAATCAATTTTAGAATATTTTCATCACCCCAAAAAGAAATCTGCTTCCCATTTTTAGTCACCCCCCAACCCACCACCACTCCCAGTCCTAGGCACCACCAGTCTGCTTTCTGTCTCTATAGATTTACCTATCCTGGACAATTCGTATAAATGGAATCACACAATTTGTGGTCCTTTGTGACTGACTTCTTTCAATTAGCATGATGTTTTCAAGGTTCATCCATGTCGTAGTATGTATCAGTACTTCATTCCTTTTTGTTGCTGACAAATATCCCATTGTGTGGGTATACCACATTTTATCAGTTGGCAGTTCATTTGCATTTTTTCTACTTTTTGGCTATTATGAATAATGCTGCCATGAACATTCATGTATACATTTTTGTGTGGACGTGTGTTTTCTTTTTTTTTGCTGTGGAAGATTCACCCTGAGCTAAGATATGCTACCAATCTTCCTCTTTTTTGTATGTGAGCCACCACGACAGTATGGCCACTGACAGAAGAGTGGTGTAGGTCCATGCTGAGGAGCCAAACCCAGGCCGCCAAAGCAAAGTGTGCCAAACTTAACCACCAGGCCACCAGGGTTGGTCCTGGATATGTGTTTTCCTTTCTCTTGGGTTGATATCTGGGTCCATGAATATTTTATAATATATTAATTTCATATATTTGATTAATTTTATACAATTAATTAATTATATTTAATTACATTTTTATATTTGGTTAATTTTGTATATTTCATAATATACCTGGATCTAGTGATACTTTTATGAGAAAACTAATGGTTATTTTCTAGTTATTAAACTTCACCTTTCTACTATGTAGTAAACTGTAAATAGTAGTTAATTTGGGGGAAGAGGATTAGAGAAGTTGATGGGATCTTAGTATAAAGGAAATTAACAGCTTAGACTCGAAGTGTAACTATATGGTTTAAAATCCTGACTCTACCACTTACAAGATGTGTGACCTTAGACAAGTTACTTAGCCTCTCTGAGCTTCAGTTTTTTCCTTGTCTGAAAAATGGAGGAAAATATATAATAACTACCTCATAGCGTTGTGAGGATTAAATCAGATACCCCTAAACCTAGTGCTGGGGACATTGTAAAAATGTATTAATTGTTAGCAATTATTATTAACAATTTATATACTGTTGCATTTTTACATTTTTATAATGAACACACATTGCTTTTGAAATTTTAAAAACAACTTTTAAGTGTGTGAAGTCAATCTTAACATTGCATGTTTACTAATTTAAATACGTTTTTACATTATCAAATCATGCTTTAAGCTGAAAAATAGAGATTTGACCCTGCTTTCTTGGTGTCTGTGTTTTGGATTAACTGAGGAAATGGAGGCTGCGGACTTATGGTCTGAGTTGTGCGTCAGTTATTCTTTTCCATTTTATACATCAAGGAGGTAGAATTTCCTGGGTAAAAAAATTCATAAAGCTGTGGTGCCATTTTTTACCAAAATTGATCTAAAATAAATGCTAACAATATCAAATTTCCTAGTACAAAGAGTTACTTTTCTCATTCCATTGATCATTTGGATCTTTGAAACAAAGCAATTCTAACTAAATTTCTTTTTGACCCCTGAGGCTTTAGTTTTAGTGCAAAAGAACTCTTGCTAATAATCTCGCATCTTGCCAAAGGTCCCGTCTTGTCCCCCTATAACTGGTTTGAGCATTCCATTTTAATTCATGGCTTGCGGAATTAGTAATTATATGATTTCTCTAGTGACTCCAATCTTAAATAATAATACCCCTCTAATAAGGTGTTCTATCTATAAGGCTGAAAGAGAAATTAGATTTTTAAGAGAAAGCAGCAGCAATACTAGAATTAACTGTTAACATGTGCTTTAGAAGTCATTTTATGGCCTGTTTCTACTGCTTTATTCATGTTTCTGGTCAGAAGAACAGGAGTACAGAATGAGGAGCTTATGAGGGCCTCACCCTGGTTCCTCTCACCCATACTTGGACTCAGTAAGTGGCCACTCACTAGGATCTCCAAATGGGATACCAGGGCCATTTTGCAGACCTCAGGAGACCTGTAGCCTTTTAACCAACCAAGCTGTAAGTAGATACAAGGTAACAAGTACTGTGCTCAGGGCTATCTTTTGTGTGTGTGGATAACATATCTATTGAGATATAGTTTATATACTATGCAATTCACCCACTTAAAGTATACAATTCAATGGTTTTTAGTGTATTCACAGAGTTGCACAACCATCACCACAATTTTAGATCATTTTCATCACCCCAAATAGAAACCCCATGCCTATTAACAACATTCCTCTTTATTCCCCAGCCCTAGGCGGCCACTAATCTATTTTCTGTCTCTATAAATTTGCCTACTCTGGAAATTTCATATAAATGGCATCATATAATATGTGACCTTTTGTGTCAGCCTCCCTTCATTTAGCATATTTTCAAGTTTCATCCATATTGTGTCATGTATCAATCCTTTATTCCCTTTTATGGCTGAATAATATTCCATTGTATGGATGTACCACTTTTTGTTTATCCATTCATCAGGTGATGGACATTTGGGTTGTTTCTACTTCTTAGCTATTGTGAATAATGCTACTATGAACATTCAAGTGCAACTTTTCGTTTGAACATATTTTCATTTCTCTTGGGTATTCCACCTAGGAGTGGAATTCCTGGATCATATGGTAACTCTATGTTTAACTTTTTGAGAAACTGCCAGATTGTTTTCCAAAGTGACTACACCATTTTACATAAAGACTATCTTAAGATCTACTTTGTCTGGGGTTAATTGTATCAGGGTATGGCCTTGGGAACAGACCTTTGCTGTTCAGGTAAAAAACTTCTGTCAAAGATTCTTATTACATTATGATCTGAACTTTAGCAATCTAAAAGAGTATGTACTTTTCAACAGTTTTCTAAATAAAATGATTAACATTCTTCTGTTTAGAAAGAAGAAAAAGAATCCTACTTATCAAGTTTCTAGGATTCTATGGACTTTTATGGAGCACTTGCCTCTTCTCACCCTAAGAGACTGAGTAGGCGTTAGGGGCAGGTGGAGCAAGGCATAGTGGTATAAATTAAGGGGCATAGCAAAAGAAAACATGTCCCCATTTTGATAAGGTAATTCTTCATCTCACTTACAACAATACCCCTGGTTACAGAAGTCAGAAGCTCATATGGGTTAATACATTTTTATTGTAGTCACTCACACCTTAGCACAAATTACTTTAATAATAACACTTTCCACCTAACTACTGGTTGAGTATAGTCTGCTCAAACTAAGGTGTTCTGATAGTAGAGGAGGTACAAAAAAAGTGGAAAAGGAATAATTTTAGAGCCTAAGAAGGGTGATTTAGAACATACTACATACATTACATTTATTAGATCATTTCTTCCTTATAACAACTCCACAACTCCAAAAGTGTGATACACACTGTTATTTTTACTTTAAAAGAAAGGAAAAAGGCTCAAAAAGTTAAGTGACTTACCAAAGGTCACACAGATTCTATGTGGAGAGCTGAGATTTTAACTCAAATTTATCTGATTCCACAGAGTCAGCGCATCCTCCTTCTATTCTGAGCAGAGAGCAGACACTACTGGGCCTCGGGCTCTGGGAAGGAGGGAATGTGGAGAGTAAGGGTGTGCCAAAGCCAAGCTTTGCCTTCTCTACAAATTTTTTTCATGTCCCTGGTTGCTACAACTACTTACTGGCAGCACCTCCGACCACCAATGGTTCAGCAGTGCAGGAGTGCTAACGAGTCCCCAAATGCCTCAGCTTAGCGCAGCTAGCGCTCTGGACTAAGTTAGGACTCCAGCAACTGCCGTGCTGCCTGGGCCACACACACTCCAGCAAAACTTCCTTATTTGGAAAAGTCTTCTCCATCCTATTTGGGCAGAAAGAATACAATCTCACATTTAAGAAAAACAAAATGCTTTGACCTACATCAGAAGGGACACTTGAAAATACTAAAACACAGAGAAATGCCAAAAAAGATTAAGTATATTTCTAAATACTTTGCTCAAGTGTCGGGGGGCAGGCATGCTTCATCAGACAGTTAAAAGAAAATTCACAAATCTCTTTTTCTTTAACCCCAGAAGTTGTTCTAGTTAACAATAAGCTTTCAATTTCAGTTATATGAAATTTAGCACACTTTTTATTAGAGTTTAGAAAATATACATTTTGGAGTTGTTTATGCTGTCGAAGCCGAGAGGGACCTGAGTGGCAGGAGAATGTACTTTCTCAGATATGGTTTAGCATTGCTTCTAACACCCTGAGCAGAAGTTATATTTTAAAAGGCAGGACCAAGTAGATATTTGCAGGATGGGCCAGTGGGGTCAGCCTGAGTGTAAGCTTTTGTCATTCCTGGAAACTGCCCAGGAGCAGCTTGATAGAAAGGTGAAAAGAGGAGACTTAAGATAAGCCTCAATTCTGCCACTAAATAGCTAGATGAACTTGGGCAAATTACTTAACTTTCTGAATGGACCTCAGTTTGCTCTTCTCTGAAGAAGGATTAGACTAAAAGACCTCCAAGGACCTTTCCAGAATTGACTTTCTATTGTATAATTTCCATGATTGGAAAGGGCTTGTCTAGGCTAAAGTGTGCAATGGAAACCATGGGTTTCCCATACCCTCTAGACCCACCTCTCATTTCCTAACTTCCCTCCTGGTAGCCTCACCCCCTCACCCTTTCTGGAGCCCGGGGCCTTAGTGTTGCTTCCTGGCTTCTTGGAGCAACCTCCCAAAAGATCAGTTGGTGTGCAAAGCACAGTAAGCCTGACATCTTCCCCAATGCTTGTCAAATCTTATCTGTCCCTTTTTCCATTCCCTCAGAATCTGCTCTCATCTCAACCACCTGGTCATGGGTGATGAGGGATTAAATTAGATAAAATAACCCTCATTGATATTTACTAGTATGTAACCCCATTCACACAAATACTTCAAAAATAATCAGAATCTACATGTTCCCCCTCAAAGGTCCTAATAGCTGCTTTATTCATTTACATGATAGGTGAGTGTTGATCAAGGGGTCTTCTTATGCCCCTGAAATTGCAATAAGGTTAGATTGCCTTCTCCAATCAGGGAGACTTGGGGAAGTTGTCATATCTTGGCAGGAATATTAAACTCAAGATGGAGATTTTGTTTTCCTTGGCATTAATCTGTATCTAATGCCAGTGAACATTATCCTTGTTTAATTACATTCACTAACCAACTGACACAACTTCCCCTGGGAAGAAGCTTATCCAACTCTGACTCATGCTTTACAGCATGTTGGATTTGAGGAAATGGATAATATACGCCCCGCTGGCTTTGGAATTTTAAACAGAAACCCACATGCAGCTGAGTCTCCGTCTTACTCCCAAATATGGGAGAATGTGTGCCCCAGCTGTGGTTTCAGGAGGCATTCTCAGTGTGACAAAAGGCAAAACTCATGGTATGCGCTGAGCACCAGGCCAGGCGTGAAGAGCTAGAGCCAGCATCCATTTAAAGGAAAAGGAACAACCCCAGCAAAGGGGAGGCAAACTGCCACCCCTAATGACTGCGTCCCTTTTCTAGAGTTATCTTGATGATGTCATGGCAGTGAACATCTTATTAAAAGTAAAATGCATCTCTAGCAACCACACACTAAAGAGGAGGGTCTTCCAGGGGCCAACCTTTAGAGGCTTTTAGAGCAGTGCTCACAGACACAGCATGTCAGGACAGGAGAGGAAATGATATGAGCCTTGTGCTGGGCTAGTCAGGTCACTTTGTACCCAGATCATGGCAAGAAGCCCTCCAGTGGCTAGTGTGCCCCAGAATTCTCTGAGAATCAGGGATGTTGCCAGGGAAGAGGTAAGTGGGGCAATTGCTCTTGTGTCTGAGCTGAGGGTGTGGGAGGCAGTATCCCAGAGTAGAAAGAGATGGTTACTCAGCTGGAGACCAAAAAAAGGTCTCAGTCCACTCCACCACCACCTCCCTTCCATGGCTGAGCCAACCCCTCCTTTTGCCACACCTTCCTAACGCTCCTCTTACAAACTCTCTTCCCATTCAGGGCTGTCCTTTTTCTTCGTAAAAAAAAAGAAAGAAAGAAAGAAAAGAAAAGCTTTATTGCTTTTATTTTAAAAATATGTGCTTTTTGAAAAAATCAAATATAGAAATGTAACAATAGCAGCTTCCATTTATAGAAGGTTTTCTTTGCATAAGACACTGTATTAAAGCACTTAATGTGCATCATTTTATTCAAACTTCACAATATCCCTACAAAGATGGTTTATTATCATCCCTATTTACAGATAAAATTAAAGTTCATACAGGTGAAGTAACTCGCCCAAAGTTACATAGTTAGTACCCAGCAAAGCTGAGATTTGAACCCAAGCGCTTGTCTCCAAAGGCTGTGCGCTTAAGTATTACATATGCTGCTTTAAAAAGTACAAGGAAAAGAGAAATATCAGCCTCAATCCACCACTCAAAAATATCACATTGTCCTTCCAGACCTTTCTTTACATACACATGTGTGGCGTTTATTTCAACCTGATTTTAGTAGAATAAAATCTGGGGTTGGTTGGGCTTCCAAGAAAAGGGAGAAGGAGTCACCCAGTATCATTTATCCTGATTTCTCTTCCCTTTGAAAAGTTCTAGCTCAGGGAACCTGCACTTGGCTGAGTCCCAAGCCCTCTGAGCCCTCTGCTGGGCTCTGAGAGGCTCAGGTGTCTTGCTGGGAGTGTCATGCCAAGCACACAGTAGGCACTCAATTAATTCTCCTCAGTGGTATTGTCAGGGATAGATTCTTCTGTGATCCTTGGCCTCTGCTGCAGTGTAGGTATTTAAGAACTGTGTTCCTTCCCTCTCCAGATGGTGCTGGTGTTGGCTTTGGAGCCAAATAAAGAACCAACTGCCCCAGGGAGCCTAGGATATGTCATCACTCTGGAGAACAAAATTAATGCTATTACTGCTGTCATGGGACTGCCATTTAAAGCCCTTGCTGAATTTGTAGTCCTGGTCTTTCTCATGGCTACTGACGAAGAGAGAAGCTTTGAGGTCGGAGATAGTCACAGGCAAGGTTGAATGTGTGTGCCATGGGAGTAGGGGGAGCAGAGTGGGACCTGGATTCAATGGCACTTCTGGAATTCATGGTCACTCGTCACCTGGTCCAACCTGGCTTCAAGGGGCTAGAGGATCACCCCTATATAATGAGGGGGCTGATTTCAGGGGGCAGTGACATTTCCCCGTTTGATCATGAGATCTGAGCTGAGCAAGCACAGCAAACGCTTGTCACAACAAGACAGGCCATGACAGAAGATAATCAGGGACTCAGGAAACCTGTCTTTCCTTCCCACTTCCCACTAACCAGCACATCCCCTGTCACACACAGAACCACACACCTTCTCTCTAAAAAATATATATATGTATATCATAAAGTGGTAAATTTTCTGTTGTGTATATTTTATAACAATTAAAAAAAAATCCAACCCAGGTTAGATATTCTATTTTCTCTCCTTATTCCTATATCTACATATTCCTCAGGTTTTTTCTTCCCAAGCACTGTAATAAATATTATTGCATTTGATCCCCTCAACTTGTCATATAATAAGAGTGGTTATCATTAGTTTCCTAAATCAAGGATTAATAATTTTTCCTTTTTTTGTAGAAGTATAACATATATACAGAAATCATAAAAGACAAACAGTCTTATGTAGCCAAAACCTAAATGAAGAAACAGAACATCACCAGCATCCCAGAAAATCCCTTTTACCCCTTCTAGTCACTAATCACTCAGGGATAATCCCTATTCATAGATCAAAGGCATAGATTAATTTTTCCTGTTTCTGAACTTGACATAAATGGAATTAATTATAAGCATGTACTCTTTTATGCCTGGCTTCTTCCACTTAATGTTATATATGTGATGTTCATTTTTATTGTTGTATGTAGTTAGAGATTATTCTCATTGTTGTATAGTACTCCATTATGTGAATTCACCATTTATTTATCCATTTATCCAATAAATCCACCATTTATTGTTGGTGGACATTTGAATTGTTTCTAGTTTTTATCTAATACAAATAGTGCTGCTATGAACATTCTTGTACATGTATTTTTGGGAACATACGTATTTCCAGAAATGTAATTGTTTATCGTGGGGTATGCATATGGTCATCTTTGGTAGATATTGCCAAACTGTTTTCCAAAGTGGTTGTACCAGGGCCGGCCCGGTGATATAATGGTTAAATGTGCGTGCTTCACTTCAGTGGCCTGGGATTTGCCGGTTCAGATCCTGGGTGAGGACATACGCACCACTTATCAAGCCATGCTGTGGCAGGCATCCCACATATAAAAAAAAAAATAGAGGAAGATGGGCACATATGTTAGCTCAGGGCCAATATTCCGCAGCAAAAAGAGGAGGATTGGTAGCTCATGTTAGCTCAGGGCTAATAGTCCTGAAAAAAAAAAAACCAAAGTGGTTGCAACAATTTACATCCCACTAGCAATGCATGAGAGTTCCAGTTGTTCATATCTTCACCAACACTTAGTGTTGTCTGTCTGTTTTATTTCAGCCATTTTGGTGGGTGTGTAGGGATATCCTATTGTGCTTTTAATTTGCATTTTCTGCTGGTTAGTGAATTGAGTAGCTTTTCATATATTCCTCAGCCATTTGGATATACTAGGGACTTTTAAAAATATTTTTCCTTGTTATTAAAGTAATACATGCTAATTGAATAAGGTTTGGCAGATACAGAAAGGAATCATGGTAGCTTTGTACTATGTCAATTTAGCTAAACTAGAACTATGTTTTCAGAATTTCTTTCCTTGTCT